CGGGTGAATCGCGCTCCAACGGCCGCCGGGGCGCAGCCCCCCTGGCTTCGGGCCCGGCCGCCAGGCCGCCCCCCCCCCCCCCCCCCCGGGGTGGGGGACCGGGGCCATGAGGCCTTGGGAGCCGGGCCTCGAGGCGCCTGGTGTCGGCCGAAACGACCGGACGATGGGGGTGTCGTCCCGCGAGTGCCTGCCGGCCAGCCTGGCGGGGGGGGGGGGGGGGCGGCCCGGGGCGCGCGCCATTATCGCGGAGAGGACCGCACCCGGTCGCATGTACCAGCCGTGTCGAGAGAATCACGAAGGAAGTCGTCATGGCCTGGCGGGGCGTTGGAGAGCAGGGCAGAGCCTCCGATGAGGAGGCTCCAGCGAGAGCAGGCTGGCGTGAGAAGGGCACCAGGGCTTGAAAACCCTGGCGCACTCGGACGCCGACAGCCCCAGGCAGAGAGGGATCCGCCCTCAAAGACCCGGGAGACAGCAAGCCGCCGTTACTCGGGCCAACGCACGCAGGCACATGAGAAAATGGGCGAAAAAAACAATCCCGCGAACGCTTCTCCCCTCTTCGGGAGAGACGGCCCCCCTCTGCACCGCGTCCCCCCCCCCCCGGGGGGGGAAACAGGAGGCTGACGGGGCGCGCCCGCTATCTCGCCCTCCGCCCGCCCCCTTGGCGGCTGGCTCTCCGGGAGTTCCGGGGAAAGGCCTCTCTCGACGGAAGAAAATAACAACAAAGCAGCAGGCCGGGGTGGGGGCGGAATCCGCCGTGGCCCGTGGCCTCCACGACCGCCGCCGTGTCCCAAAGACGTCCCCAGGAATGATGGGCTCCTTTTGAGAGGCCCTATTCGTCCTCCTCCCCGCCGGGGGGGGGGGGAGGAGCGGAAATGTCCCCGACTGGAAAAGAGGGTGGACGAACGCGCGGGCGCCCGAAGGGATCAAGCACCCTCCGCGCACCGCATTGGGAGGGTGTTGGCCCGGCCTCTTCAGCTCATAGCGCAGGATCAAAATATCTCGGCCGAGGATGGGAACGCACTTCCCGGTTCCCCAGCCCGGAGGGGGGCCCCCGGAACCGGGAAGCGGCCCCCCCGACTGGGGACTGCTCGTAATCCGCCGCCACCGCGGCCGGCTGTCGACAGAGTAAGCAAGGAGGCCCAACCGAGAGTGCCTTCTCCTTCTCCCCCCCTCCCCCGGGCCGCGGCTTGTGCTGGGCAGATTGGCCCGGACATGGAGGCACCTCTTGCTGGGAAAAGGCCTGCTGCTGCCCCAGCCCCACGCCGCTGGCGGGAATAGAACCGCCAGTCCGGCGGCCGGGGGCGTATTGAAAAGAACAGAACCGGGGCCAGCAGGACTGTTTAATCGATGTGTTGAAATGGTGTTGTCCGTTGGCGTGATCCTGGCCCGCCGCCAGAAGGGTGACACGAAATGGACCGTCGGCGCCGGGAGCGGCAGCCGCGCGTTCCGGCCCGGGGAGCCGAAAATTAACCCGGGCCTTTGCAGAGCCGCCCGCGGCCGGGCGTCTTCTCCCCTGACCGGGAGGAGAGCCCGGTCAGGAAAAGGAGAGAAGGACCGAACCAAGGGGAGGGGGGGGGGGGGAAAAAAAACAAGGCCGCCCGTTGTGCAAGCGTCCGTGGAGGATTGCTCCCCTCCCCCGGGGGGTGGAGAATGTGTGGGCAGGGAGGCCTCTGGAAAGGGCCAAAAGCGCCTCCATTGGCATTAAGGGGCACCGGCGGCTGCGTGCCTGCTGGCCACCGGGGGGGGGGGCCCGGGCGGTGTCTTGGCAGCCGACCGGGGCGATGTTGCCCTGCTCTGCGCTACATGACCGAGGTGGGAGGGAGGGCTGCCCCCTCTCCGGTCGAGGGGCGGGGGGGGGGGGGGGGGGGGGGCGGGGGCGACGTCGGCTGTCTGGGGGCGGCCACCCTGGCAGGGCGTTTGTTTGTCCACCTGCCCCCAGGCTGGGGCCTAATCTGTCAGAACCCCTAGCTCGAGGGGGGGCGGGGCACGGCGGGCCTCCCTGTGCCATGTACATGTGCTGGCAGGCGGTGCGGCACCTCCGGGGGGTGGCCGCAGCCCTGCTCCTTCCCTGGGCCCGCTGGCATGCCGCGCGCCGCATGGCCCGAGGTGGCAAGGCTGGCCTATGCAGGGGGGGCGGCGCGGAAGAGGGGATGCCCAGCCGATCGAAGACCGGCACCGGGGGACCCCAAACGGCTGGCACGGGAAACCGGCGAGGCGAGCTGGCGACGGACCGCGAGCCTGTTCCGGAGGACCGAGAAAGGGGGGCTTGTCCGGGAATAAAGGGAGAACCGCGGAGCCCCTCCGGAGGGGTGATATTCCACACCCCTCGAGGCTGGGATGGGGGGGGGGGGGGGGGGGGGGGGAGGGGGGGGTCCCCTCGATATGCACACTCTCCTGGCCCGCGCTGGTCGACCGGCTCCTTTTGGTGCCCTCAACTGGCCAGGGCACGCGCGCGCGCGCGCGCGCGGGCAAACATTCGGGGGGGGGGGGGGGGGGGCGTTGCTATGGAGGAGTTTTGCCCCGCACCGCCGGGGGGGGACCGGGGGAGGGAGGCGCTCATTCGGCGAGGGGCTGCGACGACGGTGCCCACTGGGCCCGCCGAGAGGCCCGGGGGACATGACGGACCGGCCGCCAGCCAGGCCATCCCCTTACTGCATGCGCTGGCGGGGGTGCGGGCATGGGGGGGGTGCTTAGAAGTGGGTAGGACAAGTGGTGCTTGTCAACGGCCAGTAGGGCTCGGTCGCCGGTGCGCCGGGTTGTGTCGGGATACTACGGGCCCCGGTGGACAAGCGCTGGGCGCTGGACGTCGGCCGGGGCAAGGATGACAGAGAGGCCCCGAGTGGTGCGGCAGGGCATGCGGCCCGGGGGGAAACACGCGCGAGGCCCGCGGCCGAAGTGGGGAAAGGCCAAGCCAATGGCCCGTGGCCCGGGGGGGGGGGGGCCCGGGGGTGGGAGACGGGCCGCGGCCGGGCCCTCCCAACAAGCGGATCTAGCCCTTTCT